CAGAGAGAAGCATTTGGAGCAAGGGCGTTCAACCAGGAGGAGCCCAGCCCGCCACCGCAGAAGAGGTCGTGACTCAGCCTCTTTCTGAACAGTGAGAGTCGCTTTATCAGCCGTGGGCTCGGAGATCAGTGAACGGCACTCCAAAACTACTACTAAGCATTTATAGAACACATTTCAAGTACGTATTCTGTATGCTTGACAGACGCTATCCCAATGCGCCCTTACAGTAACCCTGTAAAGTAGGTCAGTACCATGAACCCAACACTGTGCACATGGTTAGCCATTGTTATGCAGCCATTGTTATACGGCACATAGCCCCGACTTTTGTCTTTGCTATGAAAACAGGACTTTTTGAGTATGGCTTCCAGACAAATTGATCCGCAGCATTACCTTTCTCGGAGACCTCTGAAAAAGTCTTCAAGAGTAGGTCAGTACCATGAACCCAACACTGTTTACATGGTTAGCCATTGTTATGCGGCCATTATTATACGGCACATAACCTCGACTTTTGTCTTTGCTATGAAAGCAGGACTTTTGGAGTATGGCTTCCAGCATTACCTTTCTCGGAGACCTCTAAAAAAGTCTTCAAGGGGTCTGTTCTCAGTCATCCCAGAGTGAAGGATGTGTACTAATGGAATTAAGTTAAATCAAAGCCTAATGTCTGCATCCCAGAGTGAAGGATGTGTACTAATGGGATCAAGTTAAATCAAAGCCCAATGTCTGCCCCCAACTGTTAGAGCAATACAACAATGAAACCCATTCCCTTGGGAGGTGGTAGGTGCTCCAATGCTGGAGGCCTTCAAGAGAAAATTAGACCAACCTGTGCCAGATATAAGTTGATTTGGATTCCTGCCTTGAGCCGGGGGGTTGGACTCCGTGGCCTTGTAAGGCCCCCTTCCAACTCTACTATTCTGTGATTCTATGAAAAACCTTTATGTGTGAAAGCCTGAACATTTTCTCATTCATTCATTTCTCTCTCCTCAATTAAAGGGAATTTGTATATTTATATGTTGTGTTCCACCCGGTTTGCTAGGGAGGGGAAGAGTATTTATTTAAAATGTGAAAGTCTAATCAATCCACCAGTAGTCTGAGCGCGTTGTATTCCAGAAGTATAAAAAGCAAAAAGAATAGATCCAGAGGAACAAAAAACAAATTAAAAACCAAAGGTAAATAACCCCAAATAGTCAAAATATTGGAAATCTTATGTATTAAAATAGGAAGAGCAACAGCAATACTGTAATGAGTGATCGAGTAGAAGCCTCTTCCTGAGGATTTTGTAGAATCGGTATAAGTGCTCAGATTTCATTTACCATGCCCACCTCCCGGTGGCGCTCTTGAGACCGCTGTGTGGCTCACGCAGGGCCACAACAGGTTGCCTTTTCTCCCTGGGGCATCAAATTCCCGACTCTGACTCCGTCCAAAGGTGCAACTGCCCACCGAGCTATCTAGACCGCTCTCGCAGCAAAACGGAAACATTTAAAATCAAAGGGAAAACAAAAATTTAGGGTCGAATGCCTGCTAGAAGGGAAAGGTTTTCAACCTACTATCTAAAGGCTCACAGTGCGGGGGCCAGGCGGATCTCTCATTGAGAGATTTTTGTTGTCGTGGTTTAGTCGTTAGGTTGTGTCCGACGCTTCGTGACCCCATGGACCAAAGCACGCCAGGCCCTCCTGTCTTCCACTGCCTCCCAGAGTTTGGTCTTGAGGGATAGGTAAAGGTTCCCCTTGACATTTAGTCCAGTTATGTCCGACTCTAGGGCACGGTGCTCATCCCTAGTCAAGCCGTAGAGCCAGCGTTGGTCCGAAGACAGTTTCCGTGGTCACGTGGCCAGCGCGACTAGACACGGAACACCGTTACCTTCGCACTGAGGTGGTACCTATTTATCTACTCGCATTTGCATGCTTTTGAACTGCTAGGTTGGCAGGAGCTGGGACAAGTGACGGGAGCTCACTCCGTTGCATGGATTCGATCTTATGACGGCTGGTCTTCCGACCTTGCAGCCCAGAGGCTTCTGTGGTTTAACCCCCAGCGCCACCATGTCCCTATCCCTTGAGGAATAGTGGGTCGTTAATGAAAAGGCCCCGTAGAGAAGGCATTGTAAACAGGAACTGTGCAGGAGCTGTTCACGGTCATCTTTCTGAGAGTTTCACACCAACCCTTGTGTTGCTGGAGGCAGTGATAACAGGAGCGGCCCGGTTGTGATTTTCAGCCTCATCCCTTTGGTGTAACCGAGTTGAATGGTTGACGTGATGCAGAATTGGGGCCACTCCCTGATGAAAGAAAATGGGGCACGTGCGTTATGCTGATTAATCAAGTAATCAGGTTTGCATATGAGTAAAAAGCCAGTGGTGCCACCCACAAGCTACCTCCCTTGTTCATTCGCTTTTTTTAAAAAAGCCGGCTGAACCATTAAACAAAGCAGATGTTGCAGGAGGAGACCCAGAGTTCTTCTGATCAGGAATGCTCTGAAACTTTTCTTGTCCCCCTCATTCCATGGATGTAATCTGAAGTGTCCATTTGTGAAGATCTCCTTATTTACAAAAGGACGACCTTGTTTTTATGTCTCACGTGCCGTTTAGGGAGGGCCCGGCTTCCTACCCTACTAATTGTAGGTGCCTCTTCCCGAGGATCATGAAACCAGCTTGACCGCTCCTGTAGCAACAGCTGCTGATCAGCCTTTACAGCAACAATTGTGGGGTACCTTCCTATGTTTTCGGTTAGGATTTGAATGTTTCTCTTAGGAGGTAGCCCTAGGGAAGAAAGAGGCCATTCAATATCAGAAGACTCAGTTTTCCCCCTTTCTTCTGGACCAAGGAAGGACATGTCTTTGAAGCTCACATGAACTAAAGATGATTAGTTAATGGACCATGCAGGACACACAACGATGAGCTCAAATTAAAGGAAGCCAGAGGCAACTATGGGCTCCAGCAACATAAAGTCAGATTTCAGCTGAATATCAGGAAAAAGTTCTTAACTGTTAGAGCAGTACGACAATGGAACCTATGATCTCGGGATTTGGTGAGCGCTCCAACGCTGAAGGCTTTCAAGGAAAAAACTTACATAATCATCTGGCAGATAATGCTTCGATGGTATTCCTGCCTTGAGCGGGGGTTGGACTAGATGGCCTTGTAGGACCCTTCCAACTTCACTTTTCCATGATTCTATGATAATTCACGGATCTATCTGTTCAGGAGTTCAAAGATGGCTAGGTTCGGCGGCCGCGTCATGCCAAGACTCACTCACCCAAGTCCAAATATTCCTAGCCAGTTAAGGCCGTGTCTGCGTCAGGCTTCTCCCGTCTGTCGTCTGCTCCAAGACCTATTTTTACAACTGTCCTCCCAGTTGACCCAAGAGGAGGAAAAGAGAAGGATAAGCCGCCTAGAGTAATCTTAATTGATTAGATAGGCGGGATATAAAATAAATAAATAAATAAGCGAGCCCTGCTCAATTCATGTATTCTTTATTTCAACATTGCAAATATCTAATCGGCTCCAAATGGAAACAACCCCCCCCAAGAGGGAGGGAGCTTTAAAAACCCCAATGTTCCCTATTCCAGATATTTCGAGCACTTCCCCTCCATATTTTAGGTGGTCTCTGCAGGATTAGTACCTGAATGCTGGAAGTAAAATAGGAAGGGGGGGCACTTTAGTGCAATGTCTTGGATGTCCTCAAGAGGGAGCCCTTGGAACCAAGTTTGCTTAAAAATCAATTTTTTAAAAAATGAGTCTTTTACTTGCATGCTGAACTACAGCCAGCCCTGCTGGGGAGGAAAGAATTCTTCCATTCCATTAAAAACAAACACAGCAACCTGTCAGTGGATGAACAGGTGTTTCAATAAGAGCCACGGAGGGGAAAAACTTTTGACTTACTCAAATCTAGTGACAAGGATCTTGGGAGTTTGGCTTAAGATCTGCCTGTCTGTTTTGTTAAGGGTAGACTAGAGGCTGGGGCGGGTGGAGGGGGGGCGAAGAGGAAGGTTTTTTCCCCCCTTTTCCTGATAGCGGGACATATCTGTTAAAAATTCGTGTTGGGCTGGCTAAAAAACCTATAAATCAGTCTTTAATTCCTTCAAAAGGCCTCTGCAGGTTTAAAAGGGATTAGTTCTCGATTAGTAAAAGGCAGGGGTTTAAAACAACCTATTTCATTGTTGCAGGGGGAGGGATTAGACTTAGAGAGATGGCTTTGTCGTGGGGTTTCTGTGTTTCTCCACTTAAGACGCTATGCCTTTCGGAGGGAGGAAAATCCCACAGGTGCATCTTTCCAGGTTACCATGTACGCAGGGCACCTGCAGAATGTCTGCCTAACTCATGGCTGAAGGGCCGAGAAAACTCAGTGGGGTGGAATATTTCCCGGTGAAATCGATCGGGAAGTCTGCATTGAAACCGATTTAGAACACAGCTGGTCTCTCGGGGAATCAGCAGCTGGTGGCCAACATGGGGAGGGAGGAGATAGGCAACTCTGCACCGGCAGGATGCATCTCTTGCCCCTCCAGATGTGGGCCATAAGAAATCCCAACAGCATCCATTTAGTCCCACGCATTCCTGCCTCTTCCCTTCTCTGAAATACACCCTTACCTCTGCAGAGACCCCTGGCCAAGCAAAGAAGTGCTACTGTACAGTAAACCTTGATCCAGGGCCATCCTTGTTGGATGGAAAAATAGAGCATTTAATACATATACTATATATCTCTATATATTTGCAGCCAGTGCAAGAGGCGCAGGCAAGGATCATGGCCTGCCCGAAGCGCAGCAGCCGATTCAAAACAATGAGTTGTGCAAAAGGGACGCCATTCCACCCCCAGGCGCGGGTAGCTGTTTGGGGGCGCTCTATAACAATCTGTCCTGTTTCCCCCCCACCCCACGGCCCCTCTGTGACCCTGAGGGTGCTTTAAAATTCATCATTGTCATCATTATTATTGCTTTAAGAAAAGATGGCTGTCTTTCCCTAGGAGAGAATGGAGCTGGT